CACACACACACACACACACACACACACACACACACACACACACACACTTATACATACAGCCAGACGTACGCATAAATCCACAGTTAGTTACAAAACGCATATGTGTATCTATATGTAAAGGTGGCTGGTGGTGAAATTGAGCTATACAAAAATACATATATACATTCACAAATCCACACGCATATGCGCGCACACTTACCCATTCCTATATACGCATTGACATTTAATGCTGTTGTGCTAGTTGTAAATGCTCTTCTATATGCTGCACGGATACGGCTACAGCTACGTTACTTTCTTCTTCGTTTCTTTTCCTTCTTTTGTTTTTGTTTTTATTTTTTTTTATTTTTTTTATTTTTTTTTTTTTTCGTTTTTGCGAGTGCGGGTGCTAAAGAGATTTTCATGTGTCCGTGTGTAACTAACTCGTTGTATACTCAATGTTGTTTCAGTCACAGATTCAGTATCTGACGTGTTACTAGCTCGAACGGATCGTTTAGCTTGTGCATCCGAAACACGGTTTATTTTTCTTCTCTCTATATAAATATACAAACAAAAATATACAGAATTTCCTAAAAAAAAAAAAAAAAGAAAAGAAAATAAGAAAAAATAAAAAATTATAACAAATATTTTGAAAACCAGTTGAAAAACCTGTTGTTTACATAGTGAGTGTTTAAAATAATATTAAAACAAAAAAAAAAAAAAAAACAAAAAACAAAAAACACGAATAATAATAATAACAATGATAATAATAAGAAAAAATTTATTAAGTAAATAAAGAGAAGTAAGAAGAAAAACAATACTTTACGTATTTGTATACAATGGAATAAATAAACATAAAAAGTATTTGTTAAAATAACAGAAACTAAACACTTTTTTAATTAAAAAAAACGTAAGTAAACAAATAAATAAATATTTAAAAAATAGAAGAAAAAGAAAAAAGAGAAAAGAAAAGTCAGAAGAAGACGAACACGATTAAATAATTATTCGGAAAATGTTGCTAAACAGTTTTTAACATTGTTATGAAATTCAGAGTAACCGACATAACTCTTGTTAATCTATAGTTAATATACGGTTAATTATTATAATAACTGTTAATATTGCAACGTAACGAACATTGTGTTGTTTGAGCAGCATGCATGCTTTATTCACCGATCAGAATTCGTTTTCACGTCATTATGCCCAAACCGCCGGCTATTCGACAACAGCAGCCACCGCCGGTGCGATGTCGACGGCAAGTGCTGCTGCCGCAGCTCATTACGCATATGATCAATACTCTCGCTATTCGTATCCGGCTACCGCATATGGTCTAGGCGCGACACATCAAAATAAAGAAGTCGTTAAACCACCTTTTTCCTATATAGCTCTAATTGCAATGGCTATACAAGATTCAGACGAAAAGAAAATCACATTGAATGGCATTTATCAATACATAATGGATAAGTTTCCATATTATAGGGAAAATAAGCAGGGCTGGCAAAATAGCATCCGACACAATTTGTCTTTAAATGAATGCTTCGTTAAAGTAGCTCGCGACGATAAAAAACCCGGAAAAGGATCTTATTGGACTTTAGATCCCGACTCTTACAATATGTTTGATAATGGTTCATATTTGCGGAGACGTCGACGCTTCAAAAAGAAGGATGTTCTACGGGAGAAGGAAGAAGATATGAAACGTCAAGCTATGCTAAATGAGAAATTTCCTGAAATTAAACCATTAAAGTTAATCACGAATGGCATGCTAGAGGCTAAACATATGGCTCACGCTCATGCTCATGCTCATCATTTCAAAAAAGAACCGCTCAGCATGGAATTAAGTTGCTTAGGCGGTAAAGAGTCAATGGCAGCCGGTTTAAGTACAGCGGCAATGCTTAATTCTTGCCACGATAGCCTAGCTCAGATGAATCATTTGGCAGGGAGTGCTGTAGAACATCCTGGCTTTGCAGTCGATTTAATGAACGTTTATAATCCCCGTCTTCATCACAGCGCTTACTCGTATCATCATGCCCTTAACGAAGAGAATTTGGGTGTGGCGGCGACTAGTCAAATGCATGTCCATCATGCTGCTGCGGCTCATCATGCCCAACAAATGCGGCATCATCATCATCATGTAACTCATGGTCATCCCTTGACGCCAAGCAGTGCCAATTCCCATCATCATCAGCATCATCATCATAATGGCATACAGGTGGGAGGCATAAGTGCGGGCACTACAAACACCACAATTTCTTCGAGAACTTCACCTACAAGTATTAATGCATCGCATGGCCCAGCTCATGGCGGCTGGTATACCCCCGAAACTCCTCCATCGGAACCTGTTAACAATGCCCTCAACAATAACGTTACACCCAGTAACGGTAGCAACACTAATCCCAATGCCAACAACAACAACAATAATAATAGTAGTGTGCATAATGACAACAATAACAGTGCCCATCATAATGCTATAGCCGCCAGTAGTCCATCCGCGATAGCGGGCACCATCATAACCGGCCATACTACATTGCCCTTCAGAGATTCGATATTCGAGCAAACAAATCAAAATTATCAATTGGACTCGGGTAGTCCAACCGATAGTATACAATCAACCAGTCCACCGGTGCCATCGTCAACGTCCTCAGCTACCACAGCGTCAACAGCTGCTGCAGCAGCGGCTGTTCTTAGCACACATCATCATCATCATCATCATCATCATTTGAGTAGTAATCTCGGCAATCTCGGCAATCTGCCCCATTACCGTTCACATGTTGGCCACTATCAGGATTATGGCATTAAATATGGCGTCTAAGAGAAAGCCGCAAATATCGTGCTTCTCTCTATTGAATTTCTGTAAAAAAAAAAAAAAATAATAAGAAAAAAACAAAAAATGAAAAACGAAAAATTATATAAAACAATATATCCTACGTGTAAATAAATAAAATCTAAACAGTCATTAAAATGCATTTAAATGTAAGAGGAATAAAAGAGAAAAGAGAACAACTAAATATAAATCTTATTGCATAAAACATCTAAACCTGTTAATATTCGACACTCGTAAGGTTTTAATGACACTGCAAACTTTTGTAAATAAAACTCTTTTTATAATTTTCTTATATTCAATATTTTTTCTTTTTCTATGAATTGATTCAATTTTGAGTTCAATGAAATTCGTCCTTATTTAAGCTTTTATTAAACAAAAAATTTATTTTTAATTTTTTGTTTTTTGTATCAAAAAAAAAAAAAGTAAAAAAACACAACAACAACAATAACAACAACAAAATTAGGCCTAATAATAAAAATAAATTAACCTTAAATTAATTAAAAATACAACAAACAGACACTACTTATCCTTAAGCATATATATACAAAAACAAAGTGATGGCAATACTTTTATTCCTTGAAGCTTTCACACAATTGCATAGAGCTACTTACTCTGTTGGGTACATGGACTTAGCGTTGTAAGGTAAAATAAATAAATGTCCCTCAAGCAATTCTCAAAATGATCAGGAATAAGGTCTTTAGTAAAACATTTTGCTTTTCTTGTACTAAACGATCTAAACTGATTGAGTTGAGTGAAAATTTTAGAGGACCTTTTATGATATACTTACTAGTAAAGCGACTTATTCGAGAAGTAATCTTTCGATAGCACAGTCGTTCTGAGGACTTTATTTAAAACTTTAACACGAATACGTTCTTTTGAGGCGACCATCACTTGCTATTGTCGCGACATTAGTACACACATATCCGTCTATCCATCTATCAGCTAACACGAAACTAATTTTATCTAATATGCATAAGGTTTCTCAAATGCCTCTCTTTCTCTCTGCTCTCGTTTATCTTCACAATTAAGCGAACCTATCTACCATACACGGTTGAATAATATCATATTAGGCATTTTTTATTTTTTTTATTTTTCATTTTTTTTTTTTTTTTTTATTATTATTATTATTAGAAATTTAGCCAGACAATAAATTCTAAGACTAAACTCTTAAAAGCACTAGCATCTAAGGCTTTCGGCTTTATTAAAACTTCTACCGCACTTGAGATTTGAACCCACGACCATTGAGTTGCTAGTCGAGACTCTTGCCTACTCGGCCACTCAGGCGGATTTTTTTTTTTTTTTTTTTTAAATACGCTTAACGTAGAACTAGGCTTTCTACAAATGTTAATCAAAGATATCTCTTCATATATGATATATGAATAAGATACGATAACAGTCTATCACTCTTTTAAACACTTCTCAAGCAACAATTTACTTCGCTATACTGTATGATATGCGATCAACGACAGACGCATGAAGGATTAGTGCAAAGATCTTGCTTTTGCATTAAGTAATCAAATGATTTTACATTGAATTTTCGTCACTCAACATATGTAGAATATTTCACATACTCACTGACTGAAAGCGTACTCTCTTACGTTCCGATGTTTAAATGTGTATGGCAAAGTATTGCTCTGACAAAACAAAATCATATATAGACTTCAGTATGGCAATGAGTCCTTTGAGTCACAAATTGTTTGACTGCTTTTTCTTTTTTCTTTTTTTTGTAGGTAAATGCTTAAAGTAAATATCAAATTGGTTTTCAATACATGTTCATGAACGAAAATATAGTCGAATTTCGTGGCCTTTTTTTTTTTTTTTCTGTTTTAAGACTATAGCGTATCATGGACGTATTGATCACATTTTTATAATAAATTTCAATTCGTTTTCGAAACTAGGCTAAGATCATAAGAATAACAAAACAAATGGGACAGACTGAGTCGATTTCAACTATAACAAATATCGAACAGGAATGAATGAATCATTTTTTACTCATCTTTAATATATAGTTCTATGTTGTGTTGCAAGGGTCATGCACGGCATAAGATTCTAACTTGCCCTGTTGCGGTAGATGTCTAACAAGTCCAGTACACCGACTGTGCTGACATTGAATTTCGAATTCGCGTAATTGTATCTTTTGGGAATGAAAGACAAAAACTCGTATTGGGTTTTGTTTCCGCGAAAGACGAGCCCATCCCGGCAACTGGCAAAAACAAAAGAAACGAAAAGAAAAGAAAAGAAAAACTCACGTCATATAATGAACGGCGCGATAAGTAAGTAACTAGGTGTTGAAATTGATTTAGAAAATGTGTACCGTTATGTATTGATTTATTAAAACATCATTAATGAATTTTTAATGATTTCGAATTCTGTTAAGAATTTTTGATGTAAAATTTGTCCATCCTCCAAGCGAAACAGGTAAGCGTTTACGAATTTTTTTAAATCAACTATGCAATGTTGTCTTCGAATTTTTTTTTTGATGATCGATACAACTGTATACAGTATACAGTTCCATTAAGGAAAGGCGGAAAGATTTAGGAATTTTCCCGAAAAATATCTTTTATTTTTTGTTGATTCAAACGATTCCTTATATATTATATTTAAGAGGGAGCCTGTTCAAATTTTAAGCGAATCAAAAACTTGATTTTCCAACCGTAGTTGTATATATAGGAATATTATGTGAACTTGGAATTTCAAATGCGTGTTTCTCTCGAAACTCCAGCTTTCTATACCGCGAACAGCATAAGTCCAACAATTTTTGCCCTTTTCATTCGGAACATGGAACCGTAGCTTTTAATTGCCAATTACATTTAAATCGTTCTTGTACTTCTCTACCTATGAACATGTGGATGAGCTTTGCATATTTTTTAGATGCAAATTGGCGCCAGCTATGTTTGCCTTACCTTACTCACTTAAATTCAAGCTACATTTTCCTTCCACTTCTTTCTTCTTCTTTCCACCTTACTTTCTTTACTTTTTCCCTTTCAGAAAAACAAAACCAAAAAAAAAAATTGTTACTTACTCTCCTCGAATCGTTTTTATTCTTATCCTAATTTATTGATTTTGGTTGCAACATCCAACGTAATGGAAGCTTCAGAGACCCTATAAAGTACATAGCACAAAGCACAAAGCACTTGATTAGTATGAAATTCTGAATTGATTAAGCCATCCCTCTGTCCCCCTGTATATCTGTGTAAAGCGTGTGTGTGTGTTGTTCTTACTTACTCTCTTCGTCGCAAAAATTAAGATATCGAAATGAAATTTGGCATAAACACTGAAACACTTTGCACACTACTGATTGATATTGACAAAATACCAAGTTGATCAGAGGGCAAGGCCGTCGTAAAGCGTAAACTGAACGTAACTCGTTTTCGTTTCAAGTTTTTCTAAAAACAAGAATTTTTACGACTTTTTGCCCATTACTGGCAAATTGTCAAAGATAGAAAGATGACATTTTCCACATATGTGATGGGACATGTCCACACACATGTTACATGTGATTAAATTCTCTTTTTATTTATTTATTTATTTTTTTTTTTGTACATTTTTTAAGGACAAAATATTTAAAACAATAGTGCACATTATTCGTTGATAGAAGATATAGAGTATATGCGTAAATAAATAAATATGGTGGAGAGCACGACTGAATGGAGTTCCTCAGTTCCTCTCAATAACAATACCAGCGATATGAGTATCAAATGATAGGACTTGAAGAATAGAAGACGACAAGGCAAGTTTCTTAATTCTAAATCGATTATGCTGGACGTCACGACGTAGCATATTAATGTTTTCATTACAATGCCATTGAGTACGAAAGTAAGGTATAAAAGAACTTGGAGAATAGAATGCCATAAGCGAACTGCGTTAATTTCAAAAATAATTTTGATGGACTCCATGCGAAGGTGGATACAATTTTTCTTAAAAACACCATTCATATGGGCGTCAAGTAAACCGAGCTTGGAGTGTAAAATGCAACAAACTAAGCGATTAATTGTGATGGATGTCGCTACGCGGTAGACTACATTTTCTTAACAATAAGATAAACTTTATCATCTTATCATTTTTATGACGAGAAACGAAAGTATAGGACGCCAAAGACTTTAATGATGCTGGCTATGCTTTGTTGCTCCTTAATATTTTACCATTAACTTGGGTGGGATATCCTTACTATGTAGAGTGTAAAAGAAGGACTATAGACAGTTAGATAAATAAGTGGACGAAGAAGATCCATAAAAGGGGGCTAGCGGTTGCGTACATACGTCTTGAAAGTGGAAACATTTAGTTCAGCGGTGAAGACCACTGCAGGTCGATAGTTTTTGGGAAGCGGACCGGGTACGATGAAGGAACGAGGAGTTGTGGTAACGTGTTATATGTGGAGTTGTGCGAAAAGACAATTAACTCGCACACTCACCAGGAATACTTACTAAGAATAAGTGACTATTGATTTCAATCAAATTTTGAGTTCATTAACGTAAAAGGTTTGATACGTTCTTCTGCTCGAATTCAGCAAACCAATTCACTGAGTAGAGTATGTGTAAAGGTTGAATATAAGACGGTTTTGTTATGTTCTTTAATTGCTTTCTTTTTTGCTTTAATCGAATTCAATTTTATTTATTCTTTTTCTCGCTCTCATCAACCAGAAATCATGATCCTTTTGTTTTACTTGCTTGCTTGCTTGCTTAATAAGTAGTCTAATAATAATGGTTTGTCTTTCATGTAGTCAGGCCTTAGTTATATTATGTTACGCAAGCGTTTATGTGTTATCATAAAAGTTCGTCTATTCTATTGAACATGCGCAGATTTTCTAATGCTTTAATTTGCTTATGTTAAACACATTTAAGATAACATTTAAGCATTCGTACGTTATATGCAGCATGCGAGCATCACTGATATATACTATGTATTTTCTTAATCGGAAACAACGCTTGTGCGTTGTCTATTCGAAATATTCACGCGGTTTTTTTTTTTTTTTTTTCTTTAATAGAAAA